CGTGTAACCCTAAACTTTTCATACGAAACATTTTTCTCTATCCCTACTAGTTTTCGAGATATTTGACTGGATCACTTCAGATGGTCCACCCTGTATACAATATATAATTATACATATAAATAAATTTATATATACAGGGTGGTCCGTGTTAATCTATCGATGCGAATATCTCGGAAAGTATGCATCTGGAAGTTTTGTTTGGAACATTTTTTTAGACTCGTAACAGATGTCACTGTAATCGACAAAATTGAAAATGCGTACAAAAATCGTTACCGAATTAGAATTGCTCGAGGAATACACATCGTATTCTGCAAATTAGAATTCTGTGGATAAATACGTTTAAAAAAAATCTGTTTTGATGAAAATGTTTGTTCTACTTTTAGCGTTACCCGGGGACAACGACGTAATAGAATCATGTCCCCATGGGGTGCTTTTTTAATGTGAGTCCACAATTTGGCCTTTAGAACTAATACCCCGGAATGTGTTATTACAAACAGTAGACAACTTTCATAAAAGATTAAACTTGTGTTTACAGGCAAATGGAGACAATTTTGAACAGCATCTTCGTTGTTAGTTCTAAAGGCCAAATTGTGAGAGGCAAGGGGACTCACATTAAAAAAGCACCCAAAGGGTAACGCTAAAAGTAGAACAAACATTTTCATCAAAACAGATTTTTTTTAAACGTATTTATCCACAGAATTCTAATTTGCAGAACACGATGTGTATTCCTCGAGAAATTCTAATTCGGTAACGATTTTTGTACGCATTTTCAATTTTGTCGATTACAGCGACATCTGTCACGAGTCTAAAAAAATATTCCAAACAAAACTTCCATATTTTTCGACGCAGAATCATAATCTGCAATAAAAAATTGGGGTACCCATTTAAGACTTTTAAGTTGAACCCGCTCCATACGGAGGGTTGGAGAGGGGAGGAGTCGAGTATGGTGTCATTGGATGACCTCTATCCAGATTTCCTAACAGATTTCCCTTATCTACCTTTTCAATCATATGCGTAGTTGTTGAGATATTCGCATCGATAGATTAAAACTGCCGATTAC